CTCTGGAATTAATGGGGTCGTGATGTGTGTGTGTGTGTGTGTGTGTGTGTGCGTGTGGACCATGCGGCTCGCACGGAAACTATACGTGCAGATGGGTTTCCGGACCATCAAAGAGCAGGCGCAGCTTCGATTGCACCGCTTGCGTGCCACACTTGCCACCGCAAGCACGTGCAGGAGTGCTTCGTCTCTGACGCGATGGACATGGCGCACGAGGCCGGATGGCGCATGCTCTCGGTTCTGGGGCGCGTCATTCAAACCCACGTGGAATGGGCTGTCGCAGCGGGCCGGGACAGATGACAGCACCGTGCTGGCTGGAAGTCCTCTTGGAAGGGCATTTCGTGGCGCGAGCTTCGAGGAGCCAGCTGGGCCCATCACATCGAGGAGTACGTCACGCACGCAGTCAGACTGGTTCGGCTTCTCGGGCACTCAGCTTGCTCATGCTCGGGCTAGGACAAAGAAGGACCAGGTTTCCGCAATCATCGCCGGCCGGCGTGTGTTGATAGGGCCAGTGGTGGTCTGGCGAGAGGCGCATGCGCACCAAACCCTGGTTTTCTTGGACCTGCGCGGCGACAGCGCGGTGGTGATCGGATGGCTGAGCGGTCGATTTTGGTACCGAGACATGCCCCCCCATGCTGGGTGGCGGTACTGCAGGGCACGCTGCGCGAGGCCTGGGCGACGTCCGGGCTGGCGCCTGGGAGCTTGGAGGGCAATGGGCGTGCCATGTTCGCAGAGAGAGAGAGAGAGAGAGCAAACGAGTTGCGGATAGTTGGGCTTCCCTGGCGGTGGAGAAGATGAAAAACCAGTTAAATAGTCGCACATCAGAGTTGGATGTATGTGCACCGCCGTGTCGTCTGCATGCCTCGTTTGACAGGGGCAGGGGAAAGGTGCATGCAGGTCGTGCTTGGTCGTGGCAATCATAGATGCTCAGGAACGCTCGCGAGTCCTGTGTGCAGGATGTCGCCAATATACCAACATCGTGGCCATGAAGGCGGAGTTGCGGGCTCGCGAGATGCTAATGCGGACTGATGCCAAAGTCGGCGCATGCATGTCGCTCTCGGATTGTGACGCGCCGCGGGTGATTTATGGGCGCTTGCGTGCCCGCCATGACTGTGCGCCCGGCCCGCACGCCTGCAGCAACGACTCTCCTTCAGTTGGCTTCCAGGCTCACTTGGGAACCAACCGTCAAATGCAATCGAACAACATCATCATCATCAGCAGCAACGGCATCATCATCATCATCATCATCATCATCATCATCATCATCATCATCATCATCGTCATCATCATCATCACCATCAGCATCGTCATCGTCATCGTCATCACCATCACCATCACCATCACCATCACCATCACCATCATCATCATCATCATCATCATCACCATCATCATCATCATCATCATCATCATCATCATCATCATCATTCTCATCATCATCATCATCATCAGCATCATCGTCATCATCATTACCATCACCATCATCATCAGCATCATCGTCACCAGGGGCATTCTGGCGGCGTGGGGGGCTATCTTCGGGGAGAATGGCTCGAAATGGCAGTTCGTGTTCCCCCTCCTGGGCTGTTCTGGGGGCCGTCTTGTCTGCCCAGTGGGCCCCTTCGGGGGCCTCGGCGGGCCGTGTCGGGCTCTTCTGGTGCCGAAGAAGCGAACGTGCGAAACTCCTGCATCGGCTGCGCACCTGGGGGCAAGTGAGCGGGAGAAGGCTTTGTCAGAAGGCGGCGGGGCTTCTCAGAACCCACCAGGCCTTCTGAGAAGTATCCTGTGCCTTCGGGGAAGGCGTGGGCAATCTTTCAGAAGGCCCGAGGCCTGCCGAACCTGTCAAACGGCCCGCCCCATCTCTCTGCCCCCCTGGGCGCGTCGCCGAATGCAGTAACCCATGATCTAACCCATGCTTCTTCCAAGCAGTGTTGCAATTAAGGGCTCTAACTTGTGGGGTGAGGAAGTGGGCCCGCGAGTCGGTCCGGCGGCTACGTCGCCGCCGTCGCCGCCCTATCACCGCCTCGTCTCCGCCCGTTGCCTGGGCCTGCGGGCCGCTCTGGCTGCCATGTCGCCGCCGTCGCCGCCTCGTCGCCGCCTGTCGCTTGGGCCTGGCTGGCGGTCTGGTGTCTATGTTGCCTGTTGCCGCCGTCGCCGCCCCGTCGCCGCCTCGTCGCCGCATAGATCTTATTTACAACATGAATTGCACAACCTCGATTCCGCCGAATAGAATGCACAACATGGGTTGCACACACTCTTTGCATATATGTACCAGTGTAAATTGCACCGTACATGTTGACCAACGTATGGTGCACCGCAAAGACTGCACCGCATATATTGCACCACGTATATTGCAAACATGTACTGCGCAACATGAATTGCACCGCGTAGCTTGTACACTTTTAACACGCGCGCATTGTTTGGGGCCCACCTTGGCTAACACCTTTTATTTTGGTGTGTTGGTTGGGTCCCCATGGCCTCCAAGACGGCCCCAGAGGCCCCCAAGAAGGCTTCAGGATGGTCCCTGGTACAGCTATAGGCTTTGCTGCAGGTATACAATCCCAGCATCGCCTCCCAGGGAGCGCATTGAGCCTCTTTAAGCGTTCGTGCAGCGAATTCGAAGAGAATTGGTGACAGTCCCCTCAGGGCCTACGGCACGGTGTCGGAAAAATGGGGGTGGAGCGAATTGCCAGCACCCGACAATCGCAATATCTTCAGCTCGCTGCTGGAGGTTTGGGTGATTGATTTTCTTGTCCCCACGGGCACAGTCTTGGCTATCACCAGCAAGATGTCGGAGTGACCCCCGTAGCACTTTATCTGCAGTGCGCTCTCGAATCAAACCCTGCCGTGCACCCTCATGGCCTCGGAAGGTTTCATTTCTGTTGTTGTGGCTGTTTCCCCCCTTATTCTAAAATATAGGCTTCTTGTTATTCAAGTGGCTGACGCCGTTCCGCCGACCCGCAGAAGGAGCGAGTAGTTGCGACGATCTTAGAAGTTCTAAATTATCTGGTGGGTCAGGAGTTTCTTGGATCCATTCGAGGGGCTCGCTGGATGCCTTTCAGGGGCCTCTTGGAGGGCTCCTGGTGGCACCTGGGGGACCTTTTGGGCCTTTTTGGGGGCCTCCTGGACGCTACTTTGGGACCCTTGAGGGCTCTTGTGGGCGCCTGGGGGGCGTCGGGGGGGCTCTTGGGGCCATCTTGGGGAGAAAGGCTGGAAATGTCAGTTCGTATCCCCCCTTCTTGGGTCCCTCTTCTCTTAAGGCCCTCCTGGGGCTCTCTTGGGCCGTCTGTGGGTCCCCTGCGGCCGTCTTGGGGCCTTCTTAGGC